CTAATCCACTATTATATTATTAAATTTGCTTTTCAATCTTGTCATTCATTTCTCAATAATCTATATTGCACATTTTGTTTGCAGTCACAATAAAAGGGAAAAAAAACCTGCAATGACCAGCCATCGTCCCCCCTTTTTCTTTCTTTGAGTAATTTTGTATAACTAAGCAGTGTTTATATTTGACATTAAGCTGGGGCAAATGGCATAGCATTGCATAGAACGAACCCGTTCAGCCAGAGCAGCCATTATCCACATCTATTGTAACATTTTCTTCTGTGGAAACCATTCTCTTTTTTATTTGGTTTGACTATCTAGAATCTTCCAGAAAAACACCTGGATATTTAGGGTTAAAACTGACAAATATATGGAAAATTCATAGTTTCACCAACCTTGACAAAAACAAAGGTTCCATCTTAGGAAAATATTGAAAAACTTTAGTAATAACTTTACTTTTGAAAAGTAGACTAACTTTGACTAACTAATCTCATTCATATTATCAAGATCTGAATACTTTATTTTACCACTGTATAAATTTGAACGTTGCTGAGATAAGGTAAGCAAAGAGGCAGAAAAATGTAAATAAAGACTATTCAAGGCAACATAAATAAAAAAAGAATACCATCTGAATGTTGGCTGACTCAAATGTTGCCTCTGGAGAGAGAAGTCATCAAAATTCCTAAGCTGGGGATATTTGGCCGCAGCTCTGTGACACAAATGCAAATTGTTTATGTTAATATCAACTTGTTTGTTCGTCATCTAATCCTATATTAACAGAATTTATACATACCTAAGCAAAAGCGTTTTGCTAAAACTCCCAAAGTCAAAGTTAAGATAAAGGAAATCACTCAAAGTGTCCTGCTGATAAAAGTGGAGTCACTATTTCCACATCTGTCGCATAACCTTCACCTGTCATTTTATACAGCTCTTCCCTTCCATCTGTAAGTGATGCTGTCATTTCCATTTGATTTAACTTGAGGCAGAGAGAGAAAAGAAGAGCAGACAGGAGAGAGTGGAGAAGGGAGATGGATGAAGACAGAAAAACATTGCTGTTTTCATGTCGCGTTTGACAGCAAGGAGACTCGAGACAGAAGGGATCGAGTGAAGCGCACGTCTTTGAAAATACACTCAGTCAGCAGCTGAAACAATCAAAGGGCAAACAATTAAAAACAAAAGAAAATGTGTCATATCCAGGCTCAAGTCCACATTTGTAAACAAGGAACCATCTATGATGTCCTTAATAAAAAATGGAGCAGGAAGGGTGAGGAATGAAATGACGAAAGAAAAAAACAAATCTCAATATAATTCACTTTAAATTGAGGAAATAAAAAATTCAAATTGTGGCCTCAGCAAACAGAGTGAGCATCATTCATATAATTTTTGGAATCATGCTAATGATGACAGGGGTCATTATCTCTGGACCTGACCCAGGACTCCACAGCAAATGAAGCTCCAGCTGAGCACAGAACATCTTTCGGAAAACTATCCTCCCTATAAGGCTCATCAAAAAGCACTCACATTTTCTGGTCAAGATTCTTGATCCAAATGAGCGATCATTTTTGCAACCAAATAAAGCAATCAGTGGAAATCAATAAAAAGACAGAATTGAAAATAGCAGCGTCTCCTCTCTCCTATTAAGTGGGGTTAAGATGTGGCTAAAATAAAAAAAATAAAATCTAAGCATAAATTTGTAAAACAGAAATAACATATATATTTATTTTTTTTCTTGAAATACTGGAATAGGCTAATTAAGTATTTTTCATGTTTTTTTTTGCCTATTTGCAATAAATATTATTAATCAGCATCAGTTTTTGATGCTGGCCTCTTGACTATTTGATCTAACATTGATTAGAGACACGGTAGCAAAAGCACTAAAGAACCTTAAAATAAACTAAAACTATTTAATATTAAAATGTGACATTTTCTTAGTGGGAAGCAGACTCCCCTGCAGGTTGCTGAGAACAGGTTGGTCAAGCTCTGTGTGGGACTGCACATAAATTTAGCTTTTTCTTTTTCTTCCCCTCTTTCTGTCCCTTGAGATGATGTCTCACAAATGCATTGCGTTTAATTGTAATACCAAACTGTCCTGACAGACAGCTCAATAAAACTTGGCTCAGACCCAATGACTGAAGACATTAGTGGAAGATCTGATGTTTTTGGCTGTGTATGGTGTGAGAATGAACCCATGTGGGTGGAAGTGCAAGTTAATGTGCTTCCGTCTTCACTGCCTTTAGCTATGTACAGCCAGAAAATGTGAAAAGAATCCTGTTGGGTTTTTTTTTTTCTTTTCCACATTTCAGGATCATTTCTGTACATATTTGTAAAATACAAAGCAAGAGGATAAAATTCAACAACAATTGCTGGAAAACAATAAAACTACCAGAAGTAAATTGTAAGTGAGAGGAAACCTTGCTACACATCAAACCAAATTCTAGATCAAGGTAACAATATAGTCAAAATAAAAATAATAATAAAAAAAAAAAAAAAAAAAAAAAAAAGCAGTACGCAAAGTTATGACCCCACAGGGTTGGAAGCGAGAGTGTTGCTGAGGGCAGTGGGTGACAGGAGGTGAAAAAAAAGTCTGAATTTTTAAATTATGTTCTTGAAATCACAGGAAAATGATTTTGACATAATTTAGACATGATTTACACTTATGACACTCTTGAAACTCACATGTAGAGTCCTCAATGGCGTCCAGGGGGGGTTCTTTCCAATCAGCCTCACCTCTGCTTCACTGAATTTATGAGGTGCTGGTCATTTCACACCTTTTGGATTTTCTATTTTTTAGGCCCTTTTATTTGGCCAGTTTGGCAGTTTTGGTAATTTCATTCTCAAATCTTTCCAGTAAGGCAGGTGGCTGCCACAGGATGTCAATTTGGGGCCAAATTGGATGCTGATTTGAATTTGACCTGAAGCCACTTTTCGCACCTTGCAAAGAGTCTATATGTGGAATAACGGTATACATTCTCCAGAAAATACTCACAGAGCTGTTTACAACTGGAAATGTTAACCCTCCATGGCATAATGTTGCCATTCAGCAAGAAATTCACACACCTCCAATTTTACAATAAGGTGCACTGAAAGACAGATGAGACCATAAGAAAAGGAATAGCAATGTTTAAATTTGCCGCATAATTTTCTGGAGAGATGTTTTACATAAAGGTTTTTACAATAATAAGGCAAACTCTCTTGTTTTTATTAATTTCCACTTTGGTACAGTGTTGCCAAATGGCAAACGTTAACAAAAAATAAATGAAAAAATAATATGTTTTAAAAATGTGTTGTTATCATTGTTACTTGATTTATTTTATGTAAAAAAAACAAAAAACACATCCCAAATATTTTTTTTTACCAACATGCATCATTATTCATACATATGGTGAACTGTGTTCATCACCATTATAAGATGCTAAAAACTGTTCAAATGTTGAATCCAAGTCATTTTGTCTTTAACATGCTGATTTACAGCAACTGTTCTGTTGCACGTGGTGAGAGATCACTTTGTCCCCTGATATAAATATTTATTGGCTGGTCATTGCAGGAGTATAATTCTGAAGTTCAATGTTGTTTATTGCAGCTCTTAAATATTATTACAGCTATACTATAAAAAATTACATGAAAAAAAACATAGCCACAAATCTCTGATATGTCATTATACACTCTTGCCTAAGAGTAAGAAAAACTTACAAGTCATTGCATTTTGTGCTGCAGGGTCTTAAATTGTAGGTTGAGCTTCAAACGGCAAAAGCAAGACAATCTGACAAGATACCACACAAATAGTAAAGGTAGTTACTTGACAATGTCTTCTAAACTCAAACAGGACATTCATATTCCAAAACTTAGAATATGCTTTCATATGAGGTTGGTTTGTGAAATTAAAAGTGCTTTTTGAAATTAACCTTTAAGCAAGTGTGTGAGCTAAATAAAACATGTTTCTTTTTGCTCACATTTCCCTTTAAAAGGTTTTTTTTCTGCCTTTTTGGTTTGATGTAAAATATAAATTATAGATGTCAAGTTGTAAGGGAAATATCTTCATATTTATCAGAAAAAAGGGCTTTCGGGCATCCATCTGTGAGTATTTAAACTATAAATTGTGTTTTCACTCAGTAATAACAGATTATTACACATGTATACATATGTATCCAGCTTTAATATATTAGTCTTTCTCACAGCTGTAGATGGATCACTCCTGCAGATGAAATTACATTTTCTTCACACATCTTACAAACTTCCAGATTGACTCTGTTTGACTCTGATATTTTATTTGTGAAATAAAAGCAACTTGAACGAGCTTTCCAAATCATGTGTTTCGATTAAAAGTGTCAAGAATCCACAAGTGTAGGGGAGAAAAAATAAAAGTAAAAAGAAACAATAAAATTCAAGTATATATATGAAAAGATTTTAACTTAAAGACAGTTGTAGCAGATGTAACTAAGCTGACAGTCAGCTGAGATAACCTCATTTCCTCTCTGTTTTTGGTGTGAATATGGAAGGTGAAGGCGACCCACACAGTGAGTTGCTCTCAGTTAGCACACATAACATCCTAAAGTTGTCACCCATTGATTAAAAAGTTTATTTTGAACAATCACAAAGAGTAACACCGAAGTGGATTTTACTTTTCGGGGAGAAAAACAATTTCTATAGATGTTTTTAGCTTAAAGGTGTCTACGCTCTTTATCTTTTTTTTTTTTTTGGCTTTACCTCTCTCAGATGCTTTGATCCCAAACAAAGACTCAGATGAATCTATACCTATATGAATCAAGCATATGCATCTTGTGACAAGAGATTCCTAGTGGATGTCTTTCATATCAAGAGATCACAAATCAAATGGTGGGTAAGCAGCTCTTTGAAGGAACAGGGAGGCACAAAACCCCACACTTAGGTTTAAGGCAGAGTGCCACTCTCTGCTCCACCTTTTGATCTTTCAAATCTTGAGTGCATTCTCTTTTCATCTGCCACACATATGAACACCCCCTCTCACCTGTAAATCTTGTATCTTGTAGAAAACCCCTGCTGGAACCGCTCTCTGAACTCTGTGTACTCCGGGCATTTGTGAAAAGGTCCTTTCTCTGACAGCAGCCAGTCCAGCTGACCCCCACTCTGCCGTGTGTTGAAGCCCCATGCCGAGGAGCTGGATGGGGACGAGGAGGTGGAGGAGGAGGATGACGACGATGACGATGCCGGGGATGACAGGGAACCATGAAACGCCTTTCCACTCTGTCCCCCGCTGGCCAGTTGTTCAGCTTGGGCAGGCCACGGCAGCCATAGCAACACCAAAGGCAACCATAGGAGCATCAAGGAGGATGCTGACCATCTACCAAGGCTGGTGAAGCCATGGAAGCACCTCTTTTTTGTCATTGGCCAAGGAGTTGCCATGGTCCCGGTGATGATGTACTAGGGCACCTGGGACCGGCATTTCTTCTGACAGGTACCTCTTGCAGGCCTGAAAGAGACGAAAAAGAAAAAAAACCATTTCAACTTCACAATAACCATGCAGAAATATATTCACTGTGGAATCTTTCATTTTCAGTAAAGAGGTGTGTAAACACTTTGCCATGAACTACACAGACGAATTAGAAATTACAGAATAAGTCAACACAAAACTGTGGCAGAAGTAATTAGTTCATTAGCATAAAAAAATGCCCCTAATAACGTAAACAAACCACAAGATTTGGTGACTGTCAAAAGCATCTAGTGCCAAATAAAATCTGAAAATAAATAAAAGAAAAAGAAAGAAAATATGGTCAATTTTCAAAGTTTTCAAAACTGCTTTAATGATTTCTGTATCTTCATGTATGTAACTAAGCTATGGGAGGCAGGAGATGCAAAAATAATTTCAGATCACTTTGATCAATAGCTTTTGAAATCACAGAACATAATTTCGACATGATTAAAACACCTGTATAACACTCTCGTGAAATGCACATGCAAGGGTTTGACAGTTCTTCAAAAAGTAATCAGTTGAAGTTAAAAATCCTTTTCTCAGTAAAATTGAATTTCTGATGAGTTGGATAAAATATTGCCATTTAATAATATTGCAAACATTTGTGTGTGTGCATATATATTTATAAAAAAAAAAGCAGAAGTTGTAGTTCAAATGTAGGATTGATAGAAAAGGTGGTGGGTTACAAATTGAAAAATATATTTTTTTTATTTGTCAAACACAAAGGAAACATGTCCATAAAGAGAAATTTTATTGAACTATGTTTGCCACTGGTTTAGTGAAAGAAACAAATCATGGCAAGTTGTAATAGTTAGTATGCAGGTGTAGCTTTCATTACAATCTACCTGACAGAGCAAAAAGGCTCTATAGGCTCTAAAGACTCAGCTTGAATTATCAGAGGGTTCTCGTTGTATTTTCAACAGAAAACTCATTCTGACTTCTGAATAATGAAAAAAACATGACACAAAAGAAAAAAAAAACTGTACTCAGGCCGCATTGCTTTTTCAGATATTTTGTGACAAATCATCTGTTGTGTGGTACATTGCCAGACAAATATTCAATCTTAAATAAGTGCTTGGAAGCTGTACACAACAGTTTTCTATCAGGATATTTAATTACTTTATTCAGTAACTAATGCACAAAGTGCTCTTTGAGCATACAAGTCCTTGACGGTTAAATTTATTCTGATTTGTAGGATGTACCATATTTGGAGCTGTCAAGGGACTGGCTTATTTGTGAAAGTAATAAAGATTTAATTAATCAAAAACCCTTATACCTGAAATATGTCACTTCACTAAACAAGTGAGGTGGGAAAAACAAAAGTTTGCGACATTATTAATGTCAATGCAAGTAAATGTTACATAATGACCACTACACCTAAAGATAACGTTCACTAATTCAGTCACAGGGCATTAAAAGTAAACCAAATTATCAAAATGAACATTGTGAATATGCCTACAGCATCAAACAATATAATTTAGAGTCCCACAGTTTTATAAGCAACAGATATATTGCTCTTTATAAGCCAAGTTTTTATATTTCTTTTTTAGGTAATATGCACAAAGATTTGAGTGTGCACCGATACGAACAAAAACCTTTTATGTCATAAGATGCACTGTCAGTTTCACACTCTGCATCCCACATATCAACCAGAGGAAACCTGAGAGTGTAGCACGTGTTTGTGATGGTTGCATTATACAAAAGCTTTTATAGAAGCTACTATAAATGAAATTATGAAATATTGCCTACATATAAAAATCACATATCTGCTAAAATCAAAGCTTAGAAAAACTGTGGAGCCCTGAAGAGGATCAACATGAAATTATTTTATCAAAAGGTTTTGAAAGCAAATATAAAAAAAAGGAAAGAAAATACATTGAGTAGCATTTGTAATACACAGAGGGATGAGTGTTTGAGATTGCACCACTGTGGCATGCCAGGCAGCTTTCAGCTTTTTGATTTGTGTGTTTGGACAAGCATGTCATCAAACGCCTCGACACGTATCAGTAAGTGTTAGCAGTGCACGCCACACCACGGCTTGAGTGTGAATTCTCAGCATTGAACATGAAATTTTCCCTCCTTCTAATCTTGGTTTCATTAGACAGCCAAAGCAAACACGCATACACACACACACACACACACACACACACACACACTACAGGAACGCCTTACAGATTTTTACAGACCCCTCATGAAAAGCCGAGACTCGTTCTTCATTTCAATGTTAATGACTAGCAGGATTGCAGGGAGGACTCTTTGGGGACAAATCAGCATTTCAGAACAGAAATGTAAAGTAGCAGACAAGATGCTTTAAGTGGATTGGGATCTCTAGTATTCCCTGTGTATCTTACAAACAAATTAGGGAATTAATTTCAGGTGGATAAATGCAGGCTCAGACATGGAAAAAAAAAAGAAGAAAGAAAAGCAAAATGCTACTCAGGGAGGTGCATTTTTAATTTTCGCCAAATGAATCATGAGATTACTCTGGTTTTAAAAGGTAATTAAGGAAGTCATCTAAAACGGATATACGTATTTATGCAACTAAAAGCCAGATCCAGCCTTGATGAAGGGGGATTTTGATGCTGTTGTATGTGTTGCGCTGCCCAGAAGTAAAACTGGTGCAAATTAACGTACCTGCTTTGGTTATGCAATGTCTCGTTTTGATGAATGTTGTCACAGGCAAGAATCATTTGCAGAGAAATTCAGCAATGAATAACACCCCTATTTCTGATAAGGGCTTCTTTGGATATGAAATCACAATCTGAAAGAGTGATTAATTAAGTTCTGCCCCTTCTGCAAAGGACATGAACAATATTGTCAGGGACAAAATTTAAAAAATATTCAAACGCAGTTTGTATCTTCAATAAGCTTTAAAATATTTCTATACATTAAGGATAAAGAAACATATATTCTGGAAACCAGAGAATTCACCAGAACATAGGAGTTTTAATCTAGTGCAGCCACTAAAAAGTCCCTGCTCTGTTATTGTAAGATTTTCATTTGAAAATACAAAAAAATAAAAAAAAAAAAAAATACTTCAAGCCTGGTTTTTCTGTCCCAAACAGTAAGAGGAAGTCCTGAAATTTTCTTTGGAAGTGTGTTTTAGTTGGCTTAGCAAACATGTTGATAAAAGGAGACAATGACAGCCTTTGGAGCCTCTCAAGCCAAGGCTGCAAATGGTGCTTCTGTGCCCTTAACGCCTTCATTTTCAATTAGTTTTACTGTGGACCAATCATTTCCCAGTGTACCACACAAAGCAGAACTGGATGTTACTTTGTGAGCTTGAGAAACTCAAAGTAAAAGTTTAATTAAACTCAATTTCGCCTGCAGTGTTTGTTGATGAAAACTTTCACATTGAGCGGCAGTAAAAAAAATCAAAAATAAAACTTCTCACAGTAGTTAAGGAGAATACTGTTATTATGCTCTTCTTTTCCTCCAGACAGGTAATTTAGCCAGACACGCTGTGCATTACATGTGTTGCATGAAGATTAGTCACTTATTAATCATTCTATGCGATCGCAATAATTGTTTGCAGGTTTATATCACTGCAATTATTACATTAGAGAATGTTTTGTTTATTTTTATTTGTACTACTTTGACCAACTATCTCCTGCTATATTCCCCTGTTAGCTTCAGCCACCAAAAAAGAAGACAATTAAAAATGTAGCTACTGAACTACATTGTTCATATTCTTGTGCCAAAGCTCATCTTTCAGGAATGAGTGACAGAATGCTAAATGCTTGTTCTACAACCTTGAAAGGCAGTAGGAAGTAAGGCTAGTAAGGTGTATTTGCATTAAAATAACGTAGATTTAAAAACACCACAGGAGCACAGCAGGAGGTCAAGATATTTTTACATAGCAGTTTTTCAAAATTGATTGATTTCATTCAAAGCAGAATAGCATCGTGCATTGCTAGTGTTGCTAAAATACAGTATAAAAAAATATTTAATCCACAGGGATTTTTAATAATAAAGTTGAGATTTGAAGGTTATTTTTGCCTTAATACACAAACCAAAAACACATTTTTTTCCCTCTTCGTTTGTTTTTTAAACTAGAACCTTTTACAGAATTAATGTTTTTTTGTGTGTGTTTTTTTTTGCACAACCAATGCACTAATGCACAACATGTGGGGGCAGGGCAATGTGGTATTATAAATTAGAGCGATCCCGGAAACCTCAAATTGTTAAACCATAGCCACAATCTGCCGCAGGCCAAGCCAACTTTATTCATAAGCACTTTTAAAAGAGAAAAACTGACTTATATAAAAACAGCTTCATATCAAAACATAAATCAAGTAAACGTTGTAACGCACAACTTGACAAATGAAATGAAGCCTCGGCGTAAATTCAAACTGGAAGACTCTTTAGCCCCAGCTGCATCATCCAATCGGCGCATCCCGCTAATCAATGATGGCCTATCAATGCTGGACCAAGACATGTCAGGCCAATCATCGACCATGCCCCAGTTGATAAGGACGTCCATCCAAGGCGTCTTCCGCTTCGCTGCTGCGCTCAACCCACCTCCACCCCTTCTCCACCTCCACTGACCTGGCTCTCCAGGCATACTTCGTTCACCGACCTCCACCACCAGTATTGGGTCCCGGGGGATGACATTCCTATCAGCATTGGGAATGTTCATCCGAGCTTAT